CAATTATCTCCAGCACTTATAGTAAGCCTCCAGTTATTCCATTTTTGTTACACAAATAAACTCTCAATTTATAAAATAGGTCATGGTAAATTTTTCGTCCTGGTCTAAAAACAGCAAGGCAACTGGAGAAATAAAATTGTATGTGATATATGGTGGGTTAGCACAGATGACCTCATGGCATTTTTTATTTTTTTTTTACCATAAACCTGCCACAATCCTAATGAATACATATCTGTATCCACAGTTTTCATATTTTAAAAATAAATAGATCATTGCTAAGAGTTCTCAACTAGAAAAATGTCATAATGAAATACTAAAATTATAAAGTCACTGTAGTTCCCCTCATCATGTTAGACACATTTCTCTCCCAAGACAAACACTGCTATTCAACATATCAAGTCACCCATGGTTTGAAAAAAATACACATAAAATTAAGAATATACTGCTAAAGTGTTTGTCTCCTACAAATTACAGTGTTTCATAGGTTGTATTTGTCAAAAAAAAAAATTTCCACAGGTGGAATTTTAGACTTTTAGTCATTCTCGTGTACTGATCTTCTAAGGTCCTAAGAAAATACTCAAAATCATGCAAGCCCCTGATTAAACCAGGAAGCAAATCTGCATGCATGCAATTACAGTGTCTACAAGGGCAGACGCAGATGACAGTAATTCATACTCTAAGAAATGGGCAAATGTGCATTTGGCAGATTAACTGTTCTGTATTCCATTGCTATGAGGTATGGAAACTGTACTGCGAAACAACCATTACTCATTCCCTCAGCTCTGAGCACATAGGTCTATCAAAGGCAAGCCAGGCTGGAGAGGGTGGGGGGCGAGCGCTGGAAAGAGAAGAGTCTACACGTTTCAGATTAACGCTTCTCTTGAATGGTTTCTTTTATTTAATTTCCCCCACTTTTTAAATTAGCAAATACAGTAGGCCCAGAAGGGGAAATGTGTGAGGGGAAGAGGGAGAGAAGGGAGGGAAAGGGAAAAAGCAAAAGCAGCCAAAACTCTCCAACTTGTTCATTAGGCGTTTTGTATTTGAACATCTGAAGGAATCATGTGTCTGTTTTTCATTATTCTCCATATGTATTTGTTCTTTGCTTTGTTCAGAGATTTCTGGCTGTTTTGTCATGACTGTGCTTATTTTGTTTTATATATTAAGGGTTACAGGGTGATTGTTACTTCTTCTCTGCCTCACTTAGCAGTTACACCACCAACAAAGAGCAATCTGAAAATGAGAGGTTATGTCAAAATGTGTCCCTAGCTAACTCCCTTGCAGCCTATATGATTAATTTAGGTCTGACTGCTTAATACAGACCAGGGAGAAACCCTTAGATAACACTGCTCCTTATCATGACAGGAATGTTGTGGGTATCTTTCTAAAAATCTGAGGAATAGTGGAGAATGACTTAAAGTACATCACTGAATGTTCTCCTCATTTCTCCAAAAGGAAACCTTACACTTCTTGCTAAGCAGTAACCTGTTTTAACGGATCTGCTGTTGCATGGAAGTTTTGAAATAATTTCCTTGCTAAATTAAATATTTCTACTTTCAGCTTTACTCTATACACAATATACAATACACAAATGACACTGAAATACATTCTGAAATCACTAATCATGTGATAATTTCTATCATCTCCTTGAATTTAATCCACCTTACTTCATTGGATACACATCACAGGATGATATGCTCATTTAACAAGATAATCTCGTACTTGGCAGAAAGTGAGTGAGACCCAAAAGACTGGAAAGGAGCAAACAAATAGTGTGCTTTTTTTTCCCTTTTTGTTTGAATACTGGCTTTTGTTTGGGGTTTTTTTTGGGTTTGGGGGAAAGGTGGATTGTGTTGGGCCAGGGGGAGGTTGCTGTTTGCTGTTGGTTTTTGCTGGGTTTTTCTAAGGAATGGGTGTAGACTCCACTGTTTTAGAGACAGTTTCAACTTCTGGAAAAATCCTGGAGCAAACAGTTGTATGAATCCATTCACAGACCCTCTCAAAGGTGGTGATTAGTCCTATGCAGCACAGATTCAGAAAGAGTAAAAAATGTCATATCGTAATTTTGTCTAAAAGTATGTAACCAGCCTTATGAATAGCTCAGTAATATATATTTTAGTTAAATCTTGCTTCTCTTTCATAACTTGAGCAGATAGGAGAAAAAAGGTCTAGCTGAAAATGCTGTGAAGTAGGTGTCAAACTGATTAACAGATCCAATTTTAAAAATAAGTTCTCAATGGCTTAGTATTGCACTACCTGGTGTACTGAGAGGGTTTTCTCTGAAGTCTTCCCCAGGTCTGTTATTATTCACTCTTTTCCACATTATCTTGTCCAGTGGATTAGAGAAACCATTTATTTACTGTGAAGAGGATACTAAAGAGGTAAGTGCTGCAAGCACTCTGGAGGCTTAAGATTATACTCAAATCTTAGTAAATTAAGGAGACCACAGGAAAAAAATAGGATAAAATTCAATACAGACAAATGAAAAGTTCTAGCTCTAGGAGGGAATAATCAACAACCCAGAGCAGAGCACAGAATAAGGAATGCCTGGCTGGCAGCAGCACTGCAAGAGAGTAACAAAACCAGGGAGCTATTCTGAGATATTCTGTGGCTGCACAAAATATCTCAGCATAAACCAGCACCATTTTCCTCATGCAACGCCCTGTGCCTCAGAGATGTATCTATATTTTAAATACATATAAAATTATTTATATGCATCAACAAAGAAAAGGTTCACGTGATCACAGAGAAGACATATGAAACCCCTCTATACTGTTTAAAATTATCTAAAATCCTCTGCCCAGCTCCAAGTTCTTCAGGTAAGGAGTGAGCTGATTAGAGAGATCAGCAAAGTGCAATATATTGAGAAATGCAAAACAAATTGCCTTTAAGGAAAAATTTAAAGAACTAGTGTGTTCTAACTAGAAGAACACACTAGCTTAGTCTAAGGAAAAGATAAGGTAGATGCAGATCAGCCTTCACATATATATGTTTGCTGCAAAAAGGAAAGGAATATGCTGCTCTACGTGTCCACTGGGGATAAGAAAAGAAGCAATAGATTTAAATTGCATCAAGAAAGATTTAGGTTAGACATTAGGAAATGCTTCATTATAGTGAGGAGAGGGAGTGTTATCAAAGATTGCCTGAGGAGCTTCAGGAATCTCCACCACTGGAGGCCCTCGAGTGAAGGTTACAGGAATTCCCCTCAGCAGTGGGTCAGAGCTGATCCAACCCCAAGGCAGGTCCTGACCACTTCAGGTCCCTTCCACTTCTGATTCCTCGGAAGCTTTTTCTTTTTATTTTGGCAGCCTTACTGAAGAGAAAGGAAATTGTACCCAGCATTTAAAGCAGTAAAAAAAAAAAATCTATTCTTTTTTATGTCATAAAGCATACTGTTAATAAATCCAATTATGTTTATGATCTTTTAATGGCGTTACTTATGTCATAAAGATCCATCTCTGAAAATCAAACAGATACCTCTGCCCTACAGTGTAATACAACAGCATGAAAGCAAACTAACAGAAAATACCAATTCATTGTTATATGGCTCCTATTAAAATAATCTTAAAGCTAACTATAATATAAAGAACACTAAACCCAGACATTTTTCTTTCTCAAAATTTTACCATTCATATCCTTTACAATATTTTCATTTCACATTTTGTGTTTCACAAACAGATCCACTCCTTCCCTTGTTTACCACTGGCAATGGGAGCAAAGGAAGTTTTGCTCACAAGAGTACTGCTTTATAATGCAATCCAAAAAAAAAGCAAAAGTACCACCAAATCCCAAATACAATGAGATCTTATTCCTGGTTTGATATTCAAAGAAAGAGAGTGATGTTATCAGAATTCTGACAGATGAGTGCCCCAAGGAAATCAAATGCATGTTCAGGCAAAAGAAAATGCACAGCAGTGCAACTTGTGACAACAGCCCATGACCAACTGGGTCAGTGGGGTTTTCTAAGACTAGAACTGCAGTCTTCCAATGTGCTTTTCTCCTGAGTACCTAATGAGTGCTGGTTTTGGCAGGCAACAGATAAAGTCACACACTTCTACAAATCTCAAAAACATCTTTGGTATGGGATTTTTCTCCCATCTCATAATTTCCCCAGAACGCTTCCCTGTTGCTTCACTTCACCCCATATCTGGCCATTCACGAAATAGTCCTAAACTGCAATGCCTTTTCTTTTTACTAACACATATAGAAATGCTATCCAGGATGTGCTTCTTTTCAGGAGAACCCACTCTAGTAGACCTCATGACTCCAAAAGTTTTCTGTACACCTCTTGTGGAAACCTACAGAATCATTTTAAGGCAGTTTCTCCCCCACAGACTCAGTGACATTGCAGACTCATAAATGAGTAACCATTTTAGTCCTGAGATACTACTGCACACGTTAGTCAATATTTTCCTCAGCAAATGTAGCCACACGCACACACACACACAAAACATCCTATATTACATTTAAAAATATTTTCATACATTAGCAGAAATCTAGCAGAAAAATTAGGAACATAAAACTGGAAGAGGAATTATTTCTATATCTTGGTATTGCAATTTGCAGATATATTTGTGTTATAAAAAATATTTTCTTCTTCCATTAGCATATGCCAAGACTTCACAAAAATATAAAAATTAGACCAAGTTTTCCTTGGGAAACTTTTCCCAAAGGTTTCTCAGTTTTATATAAGAAATCAATTTGCATCACTGATGATATCATTCAAATCAGACAGCACTATGTGGTTAGAAGGTAATTTACTCTTCTGCTGAACCAATTTGATACTTGTTCTGATTTGTGATTTTCATTTTGTTTGTTAATGAAAAAAATTAATGAGCAATGTTACTGGAAGCACAACTCAAAGCTTTGGCATTATTAAATATGTTTGTAATATACTGTGCATTATGTTGATTGCACAGTTGGAGTCAGAGCTTTGGCAGTCAAGCCACCAGTCAATCATTCAAACTGATAATGAACTCACAGGGTGGACACTTTGCACGTACCTTTGCACTGATTTGTGTTTTTGTCAAGAATTGCCTTTGTGGATACAATTTTCCCATACCTACAGAGAAAACAAAAATCAGAGGTACAAGTTACTATATTTTAGTAAAGCACATAATCATTTTTGCATGCATATGTAACACATATCCTAGGAAGAGGTCTAGAGCTTTTCAAAAATGTTCATGTGATAATCCTGGAGAGATCCCTTATGCCACTACCTCAAACACCTTTATAGCTCCCCTGAAGAGCCCTTGCCACAACCTGCCCATCTCTGGTCCATGCACTGCCAGCATAAATGCCAATCATAGTAAGGATTTTAGAACACTCACACTAGTAAAGAGGCTTCTTTGACTAAATTATTTTAAGTTTGTTTGGTTTAAATACAGATGGATCACATTCCTTCAGGATTAACAAAAATGCAGGAATTATGGTCACTTTTTATACACAGGCACGCACAGCTGTGCTCATGTGTGCATTCATGTCTATGTATATACACTCTATCTAGTTTGGATAAACAGAACCTTGGAGGCTTGTGTGCATCTCCCAGCTCTTTCCAAGATGAATGTTAATACTCATTTGAATTTATATCACCTCCCATAGATAGCATGGCACTGAACTGCAATTTGATAGACTCAGCACGGTGAAGAGGGAATTCCGGCAGCTACAACTTGTTATATAAAACAACTGGACCATAAAATAGGTATCTGTGTTTACCTCACAGAGGTTAAGACTAAAAGTGCAGACTTAATAGTGAGTATCACAAAATCTTGGGGAAAAAAACACAGAAGATAGAACTTATGGATGAACATAAGACATCAGAAGAATAAGCAAAATAATTTTATTTCTCAAATCACTGATGCATCTGGGTCTTTGTTGAAGAGAACTTCCCTTAAAATGCCCTTTCCCACATTTTTTAAAAATCATTATTGATATTGTGATATATTGGGCTTTCATTTTGAGGACTTTTCCATGAAACACAAGTTTCTACATCCACAAAGAACATATTATTACAAAAGATTTAAGAAATTGTGTCTTCTAATGGTAAAGCAACTCCCATGGAAAATAACCAACATCAATTATAAACCATTGAAACATAAGTTAGACAAATGCTTATTTGGTTTATCTTTATTAACCGCAATATAAATATGGTGTTAGTGACTTCTACTTGAAATCCAGAAATCAGAATGTGGAAAACCTTGCTGCTATTTCCTTCTCTGCCTCAGGAGGAAATCAATGTCTCCCACTATACAGAAACTCTAAGGGCAGCTAGAGCACTGTACCACACACTCTTCTTTATCCTATGGGTCTGTAAAAATGCTCAGGAAACCATTTAAAAAGAAAAAAAGAAAGAAAAAAAAGGGAAAAATACACACACAACACCCCCCCCCAAAAAAAACAAACAAAAAACCGAAATGCACACAAAGAAACAAAAATCAAACAGGGAGAGAAAGAGGTAATGGTACCATAACTTAGAGTGTAAAAGAGATCCTTTTTTTTTACTCTGGGATCAAGAAAACACTTAAATATCTCACAAAGGAGAGTAACACCTACAGGAAAGACTGAGAATGGCCTAACTAAACACACTCTTTGATACCAGCAAAAATTTGAGACAAAATTCTCAGCTGAAGTTTCCACACTGCAAGTGACATGTAGCCATTCTGTTTAAGATAAAGGGCACTGCCTTTCCCTCTCTCTCTTTACTCTGCTTTTTTGAGTGATGCACAGTGAGATTTTACATTTCACTCTTTTTCCTTTCCCTAAGAACTTGCAAACACATTTGTTTCCATTTGACTTTCATTTGAGGAGGAAAAGCATGTTTGGCTTCATTTTGTTTCAGACTGCAACCAGTCAGGAGGTGGAGGAAATACTGACCTAAGGGTACTAATAATTTGTGTATACTAAGTCAAGCCCCAGTTCAGCTATCTTTTAGGAACCAAAAAAAAAGTCATACAACCCTTCCTCCCCTCCACCCCCTTTTTTTTGCTGATTCTGTAGACCAGAATGATTTTGGGCTCTGAAGGCAGGCACAATCCATTGTTCACTGCACTATGATGGGTACATGGGCAGGTAGTTGAGAATCTATTTTGCCACAGCTGGCTCCACTCCAACCAAATACATAACAGATTTAATGTTAGCCATGGTATCATATGCTTTTCTGACCTCAGGTGTTTCCAGAATTGGGGCCTTTATACTCACTCATGTTCCACTTAATTTTATAATTCTTTATGTACCCAAAGTTGACTTTGGCCTCTACAATATTAGAGTATGTCTTAAGAAGGCAAAGAGAAATTCAATTAAGTGATTTATAGCTGTTCAGTGGGTCAGCCTACGCAGCAGGAAATCTGGCTCGTGCAGTGCATCTTCATTTATTTGATTTACTTAGATTTAATATCAAATACATTAAAAACATGCAAAACCACACCTATCTTGTACATTAATGCACCTCTGACAGATAAATGGAAAAAGAATCCAACAAAAATCAGCGGCTAACCCGCAACAACCTCAAATAAAACACAACCCCTACCAAAACTTCCACCACCAAAAACCAACACCCAGCCTCGATTTCAGTCCAGCCACTGCTAATGAATTGATATGTTGTTTCATCCAAGTCACCTGAGAGCTAGAAGTTTACATTTCTTGCCGGCAGAGACAGGCATTGGTGGTACCCCTGCTTTTATTACAGATTTCACAGAGTTATTTGCTCTGTACTGCAATGCCGCAAACACGTGGTTATGCTAGAGATTTTACTCACAGAATTCTGTTCCATTCAGGAAATGCTTCTCCCCACATTCCAAGTTATGTGCACACCTTCACGTTTGCAAAAACAGACATCACAGTGGTAAGAGGCACCACAATTACAAACACTGTTATAGGCAATTAGCCATATGTCGGCGATTTAATCTACTGCTATAAACCCTGAGTGCTACCACAAGAAAGTAATTGGAATTAATTTGGACACTGTTTTACTAAATATTTCAAGTAATTATTTTACAGTAATCAGAACATCAGTTCTGATGAAGAATGTTAGCTTGTGTGCTGCATGAAATCAGGAAGGTATTTTGTTGCTACAGATGCAGTCATATTTCTTTCTCTCATGTGTGAAGTGTGGTATTAAGCTATAGCTCATCTCCAAAGTTGTTTGGTTTTCTGCTTGTTTTATCTTCAGTTGCAATTTGATTCACCCAGAAGTACAAAAAAAAAGTATTCAATGGGATTGTTCACAAAATTAGGATAAAATACATCACAAGAGTTTACATCCTGTTTTCTTGTATTTAAATGGAAATTATTACAAAATTTAACAGCCTGCACACCTGTGTGTTACAAACCATAAATGTAAAGAAATAACAGGTACGGTCTCCTTGTTGTAAGAAAATGTGAGCAATATTTAATTTTCTCTTGAGTACAGTTCATGGAAGTACTCTTTCAAAGGCATTGAATCAAAAATTCTGGTCATAAAAGGATGACTGTAGAATTGAATTCACCTCAATTCCATATTACCAACCCTTCAAAATAATGGCTGTATCATTAAGGATAACCTACTGCATCATGCTGTCCAAGGAAATGGGTGTAATGAATCTGAGAAGGCTACCTCTAGAATGTGTCTATTGAGCATCTAAATTGAAATTGCTGTTCAAAAGGTTTCCAGACACTCTTCCTGAAGTGTTATCTGAATGCATAGTAACCACTAAAAAAATTGTTCAAGTGCTTTTAAAAATCCTTGTAATTGTTGATATTTAATTATTATTTTATTTTTTTTTATGTAATAATTTTCATGGAAAACAAGGTGGTCAAATTTTGAAAGACTTTCCATGTCAGGAGCAACTGCACAGACTAGGACTTCACCACATCAGTGAAGAACCCATGCAGTGAAATAGTGATTAGTTGCCTTCACTGTTTCCCATAATACATAAGGGCTGCCCAGAAAATTATAAAGTTTAAAATCTGCAGGTTCCAGAATGGAGAGCTGCTTCAGGAACTCATTGCCACAGCCCATGCCAATGCCCCAACAGAGACATCACTACAAAAAGCTATTGGACAGCTTCTAGGAGAGAAAATCTGTCATGAAATTAAAAGCAAAGACATGTTTGTGTCCGAGAAGTCACATACTACCAAAAACTGAGAGGATACCAGAGTAGCATCATCACATGTTGTCCCAGTTTTAACATCAGGCACCTTCACTTCCTGCTGCTGAAACAAATTCCTATCTGGCCCAGCCCAGCCCAGCCCCTTTTACACTCCAAGAAAACATTCAGTTGGGGGTGGAAATACCTTCTTACAAACATAAACAATTTTACTTTATCTTGTATATATCAGTGAAACTGGTGAAGTCACCTGACATACTCTACTAGAATTACAAGGGTCACTTAAAAACTCTTCACTTACCAACAGCAGTAACTGACATCACGTCACACAAAAGGCAGAACTAAGGGAAGAGCCCACAGAGCTCTGCACAAGAAACAATCTCCCTGTTCAGTCCTGGCTATAGAGCTATGTCAAAAATCACTCTTGAGAGCCCCATCCCATTGCACCCCATATTTTCAGACAACTCAGCAGGCTCAGGAAAGATGCAAGCAATGCAAAATAAACCCTTAATGTATATACATCAAAGCAGATCACTTTAAGAGCTTTCAGGCAGGCGGTCGATCAGCACTTACCCTACAGACAAAGCTCAACGTGATCAGTTCCAGAAAGTTATTTGATAACTGCTGTTAAAAGGCAGATAGCTCCTGAAGGAAACCATTCCTCTTTGAGTGATACCCCTTATAAGATGCACAAACCTTAATCACAGCCAACCCCAAAGTGAGGAGAATTTGCTGTCTCAAAGCACACAAAGAATTTGAGCCATTTCTCCTCCTGCCTGTGGAAAGCTAGGGTGCAGGGGGGGTAAGTGGACAGCTAGGGTTAGCCAAGGACTAGCTCAAGGCAGAGCAACCAGGTGCCACCCACCCCACTGCTGGCAGGCAACATGCCAAGGGAGGAAGCTGGCTGAGCAACAGCTGTCACCAGGAGTTGCTGCATCAAAGAGCAGATTTCCTAGGAGGCCAGGATGGTGGGGGCCAC